TCCCTACAGTACCCTTAAATCCTTCTCCAACAGTCCTTACTTCCAAGCAAAAAATAATTCTTACATTCATTCACTTAGATATCTGGTGAAAACAAGCACTGACCAGTCTCCTGTGACTTTTGTCTTTTTTAGAGGAGATCAAGAACGACAGTTCAACAACTACACCTACGCTAGTGAAACACAAACAGATTTCTGGAACTCAGCGGTACACAAATCTCACATTGCCTTGCTGCCAGAACAGTCAAGTTCTTTATGAAAGACTCAGATAATCTGTCTGTCTGTTAGTAGCATTGGGATGCTGCTGGTGACAAAACAGTATATGTTACCGGGGCCACAACCACATCAGTAGCATCAGCTCAGGCTTTTCAATGTTTGTTTTACTCAGATGCTCGCTTGAAGCTCATCACTAAAAGCAAACTGGCATCAAACACATGTTGGTAACTGTATTCAAAAGGCAATACAAGTGCAGTCCACAAATCCTGAATGCCTTGGGGTTGTAAATTCTTTTAAGTACTCTAAGAGCCACATTACTGTGCATCTATTATATTTTTTTTTAAAGTTTAAAATTTTTTTTGAAAAAAAAATTTAAATCCACCTTTGAGAGCTCTTCTCCTATTGCTTGTAAAAAGCTGGTGACTTAAGTGCTATACACACATGTGACAGCCAAATCCAGAAACAGAGACACATGCAGTTGACCTAGGATTTAGGGTTACGCTTGCCTTTATTATATAAAAATCTAGCAGGACAAAAGGAAATAAGATGTTAGAACAAACTGGTCGATCTCACTTTTCTGTAGGATCATTGTAATGCAGCCATATTTGATTAGAAGCATAAGCCTGATGCAATGGAATGCACAGATTCTTTTTTGGTTGTTTCCTGCCCCTCCTTCTTACTCACAAAGACTATTCCACAAAGACAAATTACCATCTTGATCTGGCCTAGAAAGCCAGCTCGGACTCTTAACTTGGACTAGAAGTATTAATGTGCACTGGCGGTATTGCAGACATTCTGGATCTATCTTGTGGATTTGACAGCAGAAAGAAAACATTCTTAGAGAATAAAGGGTATTTTTTCTTTGCTGCTTAGGAGACATTTCAGTTTGTTCTTTAAACTACATGTGCATATTTTTAAAGTGCTGTTCTTTACCTGTATTCAGAATGAGATCAGCTTACATTTGGGACTAAGACAGTTTTTACTGTCTTTGACTCTCTCAGTCTATGCAGAATCAGATAAATTCAGATCAAGTCTTTACTCCTCATTTATTCTACTGTTTATGAAGAGCTAGAAGAACTGTTCACACAAGAAGAAAATTCATATCACCAAAATGGAGGCATCCAACGGTCAAACTTCATATTTAATTTAATACAACAAAACCGTCAAAAAGTCATATTCTACTACAGCCACTTCCCCACATTTGTTTACCCCTTCCTAAAGCCTTTCATACACCCACAGAATCACAGAACAGCCCAGGTTGGAAGAGGCCTCCAAAGATCATCTGGTCCAACCTTTTGTGGGAAATAGAGCCTAGATGAGGTTACCTAGCACCATGTCCAACTGCATCTTGAAAACCTCCAGTGATGGGGACTCTGCCGCATCTCTGGAGAGGTTGCTCCAGTGACTGATGGTTCTCACTGTAAAAAATTTCTCTCTTACATCAAGGTAAAACGCCTCTCAGTGCAACTTGCACCCATTTCCCCCTGTCTTCTCCATATGTCACTTTATAAAGAAAGAGCCTCCATTGTCTTCGTAGCCGCCCTTTCCAACACAGACACCACCCTTTCCTATATGGACTCTAATGTTCAAACAGTGCCTGATGGGTTGAATCGACTTCCCCTCGCAAAGGAAAAAAATTAAAGCAAGGGCAGAAGGTAAAATGCGTTGTGGTGCCTGGTAAGGTTCAGCAATAATTTATTTAGGGGGCCGGTTAGCTCAGTCAGTTGAGCGTAGCGCTAACAACGCTAAGGTCGTGGGTTTGATTCCCGTTGGGTCCCCATGTGCTGCCTGTTCTAGTCAAGAGGTGGCGTCCCTTGCGGCAGGGAGGTTGGATTAAAATGATCTCTACGGTCCCTTCCAGCTTAGGCCATTCTATGATTCTATGATTTAGATGCCAAGGGAAAAGCAGGCAGCGAAGGTGACAGTAAACACCCAAACCTGATCTGAAAGAGAAAAGGCACAACCACGTGAGCAGACTGTAGTTCTCCTTGGCAAACCTGCTTAAGAAACACAGTTCTGACCCTATTATGAGGTAATGTCCAGTGAAAAAAATACTAAGTGCTGCTTAGTGCCTTGTCTTCACATTTTTCTTCTATATCAATGACAGAAATTTCAGTACAGGAATATTGTTGAAGCGACACTTGTGAGGGACTAGAAATGTCTCAAAACAGTCTAGGTTTTCTCAGAAACTAAAGCAGC